GGGAAAAAAAGGGGGGGGGGAAGAGGGAGTGGAAAAAAAAGTGCTCCTTCACAGAGCCGGATTTAGCTCCTTGCCACCCCATCTCATTCGTTTTGAAACATCCATAGAAACCATCAGGTGAACGTGCCGAAGGAGAAGGGATACATAAGACGCGTTTACTCGCGTTTGGCACACTTTTTGTGAAAGCCCTGTCAACACTAGCAAAAGTTCACGGAACTTTGCTCGAAAATTAAGTTCCGTAGACCTATCTCTGTGTGGACGATGCCTTTCATTTATAAGAAAAGAACGGAAAAATTATGAATAAGAATAAACATGAATGTGGTCTATAATGATCTTAATTTCCGCCACCGCACCAACCGCGCTGAGTTTGGCACAATGCGTGAAGTATCCCTACAGTCTTGTAGGCGCTATGCGTTTCACGCTGACCGCTGCTGACCGAGTGACCGCACTGTTTATGACGCAATGCGTGAAGTATTCATGCAGTCTTGTAGGCACTATGAGTCTCGCTGCTGACCGCACTACATTTGACGCAATGCGTTAAGTATTCAAAGAGTCTTGTAGGCGCTAATATGTGTTTCATGCTAATCGGCAAGTTCTCGCCATCATTGCTCTCTGCGCCGTGCCGCTCCAGGCCAAATTGCATGTTTGGTTTCTCTCTCAACTAGACTTATGAAAGGCGCTGTCCCTTGTATCACCGAAAGACGAACAAATTAGAAATTACTATACTTCAACTCTTAGGATATGAGAGATTTTTTCGCCTTTCCTCATTTGTGATTTTTTTTCTGAATCAGATTTTTTTCTTGATACCTACATTTAAAAAATTACAACATTTGCCGCCATGGGCCGCGGCCCATGACGCCCAAAACGAGAGAAATGAGAGAGGGTGAATGCGTGAAAATCGATGTCATTTTAGACAAAACAACAGTACGTCCACACGATTCCTCCAGAGCACTTTACTTTTACTTCCAGCTGTTTTGAGTAAAATTGTACCTACCCATTTCTGTAAATTTCTAACCTTAAAATTGGTACGCTGAATACATTGAGAAAAAAAAGATCCCCGTTGTAAGGACTGAACTCTGGTTTATATTGAACATCAAATATTTCCGGTTCAGGTGACCAAAGTTCCCGGTCATGGGAACGAAATGGTGAACTGAACCAAACTTTGGTTTCTGTGCCCAAAAATTCTGTTTTATGAACAGAAAACATTAATGTTCAATATGAATCGATGATCATTTCCTCGTGCAGAACGAACTGCTGTCTTGTTGAAATGAAAAATGCTTTTTTTATAAATAGTCGAAGATAAAAGTGGTCGAGTTTTAATGATCCAAACAATTTCTAATGACCTTTTAGGTGATTACTGACAAATTTACGATGTACAGAGGATTTGCGAAATAGGATTTTCAGCACAAATGCGGTTCTCCATTCTCGTAAAACCTCATCTTAGCACTTACTGCTTTCCTCGACAACATGACCATATGCTGCCGAAGTTGTGCTGAGTCAAAGAGCGGTAAATCCATAATTCGGTGGAAGTAAATCCACTACTTACAAGATAAAATACCGCTTATTTTAAGTCATTAGATACACTTTACTTAAAAACCAAAAAAAACATTTGCGCACCGGTAAAGTTGCGACCTCTCCATCCGTATATCACACATTGGCGGATCCAGCAATTTGGCAACACCGGATTTCCTCCATTTAAAGCTATGGGGATGTATCGATTCTTGGAGGGGCCAGGTCCGACAAGAATCGATTATTTAGCATAGTATTAAATGGAGGAATCCGGTGTTGCCAAATTGCTGGATCCGCCTCTGATATCACACAGGTTGATCCAAAATCCGCAATGGGCATCTCCCGCGTAACTTCTGAACGATTTGTTAAAGAGACTCGAAATTTTAAAAGTACATTACTCCTCCAAGGTCGGAGGGAGCGACTTTCGGAACCCCCAAAAATGTTAGAGGGATCATCCTAAAATGAGGCAAAATCACTAGGGGTTAAAGTGGTAGTGCAGGACTTTTGGATTACCCTGCATACTAAATTTGCGTTTTATCCTGTATTTTTTAATAGGATGTCTTTTTTTTTAATTTGCAAAAGAAACAACTTAAATCGGGACTAGGGTCGCAAATAATAAAAAGAATATATACAATAAAATAAAAAACCCGGGACGTTTCGCAGGGATCACACCTGCATTTTCAACCGGCAAGAACAAAAAAAAAAAGAAAATTAGAAAGAGGGATAAGAATTAGGCCTTTTTCATTTGCGAAAATCCTGATTTTTGACTGCAAAGTCCTGATTTCATAGTTTTTCGAAATTCTGATTTTTTGAGGAGAAAAATTAAAATTCCTGAATCAGCGCATGCGAAAGGAATCCGAACGGACGATCAACTTTTCTCAAATCCTGATATTACGACCGATTTTTCCTCAAATCATGATGAAATCGGGATTAAATCCTAATTGACTTCACATCCTGTTAGAATCAGGAAAATCCTGATGCTAGACACCCTGTTAAAAGAACAAAGACAAAGGTACACGGGCAGCCCAAAACGGAAATAGTACACGGAGAAAAAAACTTCGTGCATGGGACCCGAAGTTGAGGTCATATGGATCTCTGAAGTTTTCGGATCTCACATCCGAAAACTTGAGGTCCAGCTACCGAAGTTCGGGTCAGACATCTGCAGTACCTAGGTACATACGGAAGGGTTCGGGTCACACATCTGAGTACTCTGGTGCTTACCGGAGTAATTCGGATGTTTGACACCCGAACTTCGGCACCTGGACCTCAAGTTTTTGGATGCGTGAGCCGGAAACTTCAGAGATCCATATGACCTCAACTTCGGGTCCCATGCACGAGGTTTTTTTCTCCATGTAATAGCAAAACAAGGAAACAGTGGGAACAAGGCTAAAACCCCGTACTTTTTTTCTTTTTCTTCTTCCTCCTGCTTTTGCAATCTGTTTAATCCTGTTGACGGACTCACAATCAGCAAAGCAGTATGCACAGAGGCACTGAAACGGCCGCTAGAGAGCGCGCGAAGCCAGCCATTGGTGCTAGTGCGACTCGGCAATCCTGCCTCTACGATTGACGGGGGGGGAGGAAGGGGGGCAGACGGGGGAAGGAGCGTGAAGGAATGCGTGCGGTACCCGCAGGGGTCCCACATTC